AAGCAGTTACTTTTCTTTTTGATGATGTAACCTCTGGACCATATGGCTTTGCCGAGAGCTTGGACAAATCATTGAGCATGTCAGCGAAACATTCGTCCTTTAGAGAGCTGCCAGAGATGTGAAAGTGATTGTCTGCTCCAATTCTCTCTGCTTACTTAGCGAAGCCACTCTGAGGATTTAACCTGCAAACCTCGAAGTAGGTAGTGTAGACTTTGTTGCATGACCACATCATCTAGAATTTAATTTTATATACTATTCAAAGTATATGTAATATGTACGTGCGAATGTGGGATAAATTTCCATAATTTTGTCTACAAAAATAAATTAGGTAAAGATGGCCAACAGAATAATTTTGTACAATGGAAATCTTTGCAACCAGTGAACTAACAGACATATATCATATTTTATGTAGTGATGGCTTACACTTTTTATGGAAGTATAAATTATATGAAAGTTCCAAAGTGTTGTTTTCTTAAATTTGAAATGAATAGCAATGGCAGTGTGAATAAATTGTCTTTTTCTGCAAAATTGCTTAAAATGGCAGATGATTAATTAATAAACCCTCCCAAATCAAGAGTTTGATTCACAACAACTTGCCACAAGATTTAAATTGTCAGACTGTTACCATATTGCACCAGACATTTGAGGTGAGACAGTTCTCCATATGGAGGGTGAGATTACAGGATTGTCACTTCAAGCTGCTTCTTCCCAACTGTCAGCTACAGAATGGCAGGGCATTTAAATCTCCAGACCATCCTGAACTGAATTCAGGAAGCATTTCTTCACGCAGAGGATTCTCTGCCTGAGAAAGCTATAGAAGTAGAATCAATAGGGATGTTTAATGGAGAGATAGATGCACTCTCACCACCCTCTGGGTGAGGTAATGCTCCCTAATCTCATCTCTAACATAATACGTTACGCTCACAAAATACACAGTCAAACTTTACAGTATATCCTGATAAGGCACGATATCAAATACAAGGAATATTATTTTTTTTCAAATAATAATATGGTCACTCATAATAATACGGTCACTGCCGTGTTTCATCCACAAAATATACAGTCAGTTCACTTTGCAGTATATTCTGTGAAGTACCTTGAGATGTCTCGAAGACATGATAAGCGCTATATCAAATGCAAAGATGATTATTATAGATACTTGGATAGTAGTAGCGGTATCAAGCGGGCGAGGTTGGGAGTGATGGGGTCGCAGAGCCTGGTGCGAGAGAGTACACGAGCTGCAGAGTTTTGGATGATCTGCAGCTTGTGAAGGGAAGAGTTGGGCAGGCCAATGAGGAGGGAAGTCGAGCCTTGAAGTGACGAATGCGTGGGTAAGGGTTTTGGCAGCCTGAGGGATGAGGCAGTGGCGGAGTCTGGCAATATTGCAGAGATGGTGGTAGTGCCGGTCATGGCGCGGATGCGGGGGAGAAAGGACAGTTCAGGGTCAAACAAGACACCCAGGTTCCTGACTGGCTTAGTGAGGTTGAGTGTGCAGCCGTGGAGGTTGATGCTGCCAGCGCATGAGGTGCAGAGGCACTGGCATGAGCCAATGAGGAGGGCCTCGGTCTTACTGACATTCAGCTGGAGAAAGTTGTTCCTCATCCAGGACTTGATGTCAGACAGGTAATCGGTCAGGACGCCAGTAGTCCTGGAGTTGAGGGTGTGGAGGCAGAGGGATAGAGTTGGGTGTCATCTGCATACATGTGGAAATTTACCCCATGTCTGTGGATGATGTCACCAAGGGGGAGCATGTGGAGGGTGAAGAGAAGGAGACCAAGGACAGCCCTGAGGAACGCTGCACGAGACGATGCGGGGGTTGGAGGAGAAGCCGTTAGCTGAGACAAAGTGGAGGTGGCATGAAAGGTAGGACCTGAACCAGTCAAGGACAGAACCTTGGAGGTTGAGGTGGGAGGAGAGGTGATGGAGGAGGATTGAATGGTCCACAGTGTCAAAAGCAGTGGAGAGGTTGAGGAGGATGAGGAGGCAGAGGGAGCCCTGGTCACACATGGTCAGAATGTCATTTGTGACCTTGACCAGAGCAGTTTCCATGCTGTGGGCAGCATGGAAACCCGATTGGAGGGGCTCATGGAGGGAGTGGGATGAGAGGAAAGAGCGAAGCTGGGAGGCAACGGCTCTCTCAAGGACCTTGGACAGAAAAGGGAGGTTGGAGATGGGCCGGTAGTTTGATAGCTGTGTTGGGTCAAGGGAAGGTTTCTTCAAGGTGGGGGTGATAGTGGCTGTTTTGAGGGGGGTAGGAACAGTGCCAGATGACAGAGAGAGGTTGATGATGTTGGCGAGTAGTGGGGCTAGGAGGTGGAGCTGGGATTTAAGGAGAGGGGTGGGGATGGGGTCCAGGGATCAGGTGGTGGGCTTCAAGGAGGATATGGTGGTGGTGATAGAGGAGGGGGTGACAGGTTCAAAGGAAGGAGGGATGGGTAGTGGTTGGAGTGTGTAGGGGGGGGCATAGAGAGGGGTGGAAGTTGGGAGGGCAGTGGCAGCTGAGTGGATTCCCTCGATTTTGGACTTGAGGAAGTCCAGCATTTCCTCGCAGTGGGAGTCGGAGGAAAGAATCTGCAAGGCGTAGCAGGGAGGGCGGAGAAGCCGGTTGGTGTTGGAGAACAGGAGCCTGGGGTTGGCCTCCGCCTCCAGGATTAACCTGGAATAGAAGGACGATTTGGCCGAGGCAAGAGTGGAGCGATAGGTTTTGATGTAGTCCAGCCAGATGTGCTGGTGGACCATGAGACCGGATTTGAGCCAAGTGCGTTCAGCAGCTCGCACCTGGCCCTTGAGTGAGCAGAGGTGGCTGGTGAACCAGGGTGAGGATCGGGAATAGGAGGCAGTTCGGGAGGTGAGGGGGGCAAGGGCGTCGAGTGTGGTGGAGAGGGTGCTATGGAGGAGAGTAAACGCAGAGGAACAACACCTTATGCAGTAGGTTGAGGTGTAATATCATGGCACGCTGCTCTGTTGTTCTTGGCATTAACTTCAATGAATTTCAATTGCAACAAATGTAAAGTAACGAGATGATTTCAACTGTAAAGCCCAAAGTTCAAATTAAAAATCAATACAAGTGATGAGAACAGGTGGTTCTCAGATAGGCTGTGCATCTGTAATGCACTCTTGTTGCAGTGTTAAAAGCCAAGGGGCACTTGTGTGGCGATAATGTGTGTGTGGTTTGGGCTCGAGTCCATAAAATGCCCACAAAATACAGTCAATTCATCAATTCACTTTACAGTATATTTTGTGTAGCACTTTGAGATGTGTGGAAAATATGATAAAGTGCAATATCAAATGCAAGGATTATTATATAAACTGGACTGAAAGTCAAATGGAATCAATGAATGTTGACATTGAGAATAATACTTGCCATTAATCCTCCATTCTCCCTTCCCCCCCATATATATTGGGTTTCTTGGGTTGTAGCCAGTGCACTGAACGACTGAAATCCTATTATCAGAGCATTGGTGTGGAATCCATCTTCCTCCACAGCATTTACTATTAAGACAAAAGGTGAATATGCCAGTGGGGTTATTGCAACTGACTCAACTGTTACCTGATCTGAGATGGTCAGCCAAGATTCATTCTTCTGATCACTACCCAATGACATCAGATGGAAAGCATGTGGTGTGTGTGAGAACATCAATACAGGATCAACAACAACAATAACAAAATTATATTTGTATAGCACCTTTCACGTCGGGAGTTCGTTCCAAGGCACAGGGATGAGTGCTCCCTCTGGTGCCTAATTGTGGTTGAATAACCTCCGAACATTCCTTGATTCATATATGAAGAATGCCCCCTTAACCAATATATTGGAAGGCCAGTGGTGCTCTTGGAGCTATATCTAAGATTGAAGTTATTGTCTTTAGCAGAAATTATCAAAGTGAGGGGAGATGTATTATGTCACTTGTGTGGTCCTATTCTGTTAAAAGTGATGCACAGCTTTGTGTGTCTCTTCCCCAAATAATAAAATAATTTGCCATGGGCCAGTGTTCCTTTCATCTTTTCTATCTGGTGATTGACTCACAATATTGTATGTAGACTTCTAAAAATTAAGGACCGCATTGTTACCTGAGCTCTAAATTGAAGGTATTTTATAACTGATCTACCTGTTAAAATTTGTAAAATTTATACTTGTATAGTGTCATGTTAGGTGAACACCTCAAAATGCTGCACAGATTGATTGAATCCTGAGCTCGGGAGGTAAGGTGGGCGTAAAGTTAAATAGGTATGACTCTGGATAAAGTTTGAAAGTAGTGAGGCAGAGGACTTTGAGAAAGGGTTCCAGAGAGGGGGAGCACAGTGGCTGAAGACTTGCTTGCAATGGTGAGGCAGGCAGGAGTGGCTCGTGGAGTAAGGTTGTAGGAAATTGCAGAGATAGGGTGGTCAAGGCTGTGGGTGAATTTGAAGGTGAGGGCAAAGATCTTGAAGTTGTTTCACAGAGAAATAGGGAGCCAGTGGAACTTGGCAAGAATGGGAGTGATGAGTTTGCTGGACCAAATGCTAAGGAGGGTATGGACTCTGGATTTTGAGAATGTACATTGGAAAAGTTAAGTCAGGAACGATAAAGGCGGGGATGAGAGTTTTGAGTGTGTGAGGTAGCAGTGGAAAATGGTTAAAACAATTGCCAGAATATCGTCATTTACTACATTTACAGTAAATGTGAGCTTAGAATTCTTCTCGTTTTATTTAATTCTACTTCCTCTCCGTTGAGAGATGCCCTAGTCTCCACTGAGCGCCTCCACTGAACAACTAGGGGACACTCGTGCTCTCTTCACCCCGTCCGCACCCCCCCCCCTCCCCCAGTGCACACAAACGCACACTCTATCAAATGCTCTGTTTAATCTACATTTACAGGTACAAGACAAGCTGGCACAAGGCAGCCATTGTTTAATTGTGAATTGTTTCAACCCTCATAATAGTTGCATAGTGAAATAGAGGAATCGTTGTTACACAAAGTGAATCTTATATAAAATATGTGTGTTGGCTTCTGTTCAACACAGGTACCATTATCCAGCCCCTAAGTTATTTTACGTCCAGCTCCTTGTGGGGAACACCGAGTTTATTGGAGAAGGACGGACCCGTCAAGCCGCCAGACACAATGCTGCCATGAAAGCCCTCCAAGCTCTTCGTGATGAACCTATTCCAGAAAAGCCACCTCAGGTAACAATTGAGTCAGAGTTGAGAGTTTTTCCCATCTTCCATATATGCCACTATTAAATTTAATATGATTGACTATTCTCCCTTGGGGTGGGGATGGGTGTTAAGCAAGGTCTCCTTGAGTTGGCTGCAAGATGACATGGTTGGCAATGGAATGTTGGAATCAAGTCACCCTCTGCAATGGCCTTGATAGTCCAGTTCCTGAGTCAGGCAGGTCTACATTATTTCAGGGCATTGCTGATGGTAGACCAGTCAGCCTGTCTCTTTGGCAGGAGTTGGAGCAGCAGTCCAGTCACCGGGAGTAGGGAGTGTTAGCACTCTCGCCTCTGAGTCAGAAGGTTGTGGGTTCAAGACCTACTTCACAACTTGGGAGTCACGCAGACTAAAATGACACTCCAGCTCGATTTCTCCTTTTGATAACATGGTTGAGATTCAGAACTAGTATGAATTAGATGTGTAAATCACCATTCAACCAAACTGCTCGAGAAAAAAAAAAACTTGTTTTTGAATCTAAATTTTTTAAGAAAAACAAAGTTTGGTAAAGTTCTTTCCACAGATTCCACGGAGCTTCATATTTGTAGTGGATTAAAGTTTTTAAATGCAGCAAATACTTTCCAGCCTCATTGAGACGAGTGCAGTGATGAATAGAAGTTTACATCTGTTTTGATTGCATATTATATGTTGATGTGCACACATGGGAGTATTTTCACTATATAAAGCAATGTGAGGTTGCAACGGTTATCCTTTAGAAAATTAGAAACAGAATTTAACTGCGTAGAGTTCTTGTTTATTCAATGAGGTAAGTGTTAAGAATATATATATATGTATATTCATGTAAATATCTGCACAAAGAATATGTATAAAGTTTCTACAGATGTTATTCTTAAGAGTATTTTATTGCATAATTTTAATGACAAGATGACAAGCATTGAAGATCTATAAAATCAGGACTTGATCAGTAGATTTTAAATATCAAGCATATCTTTTAATAGTTCTGTCATTTAGCCACCGTTAAATCAGACATTTGTTTTATTATTTCAGACAAGTTTTATATGCACTTTGTAAGCATTTCTGCCTCTACTAAACATTGTTACTGAAACTGGAGCCAAACTAACCCCACTGCTTGGTAGTTTTTCTTAAAATGTTCAAAAACAAATATACTTTTTCAGCTTGGCTCAGTTGCTAGTACTCTCCTGCTGGGTCAGAAGGTTGTAGATTTAAGGTTTGAGCTCATACTGCAGACCAACATTCTGATTGGGAAGAGCTGCATTGTTAATGAGTGCTTTCGGCAAAGATTTGAAAGTGAGGTCCAGGTCCCATCTGCCTATTCTTTAAGGGGACTTTAAAGTTCCTATCACACTCTTTGATGGGATGCCATCTGCAGATTGGGGTAAACTTCCAAATGTATTTGGATGACACAAATCTACTTCTTCTCCAGTTGCGACTCCAGGTCCTCCAATGTTCTCTGGTGGACATCAGGGCCTGGATGAGCGAAAGCTTCCTGAAACTTAATGTTGGCAAGACAGAAGCGAAGATCATTGGTTCCCGTCAACATCCTCAGACTTACTAAACTAGTGCGCAACCTAGGGGTCATGTTCGACCCATAGCTGTCCTTCCTTCCCACATTCGGTCCCAGACCAGGACCACCTTCCTCAACCTCCAGACTTGACTTCTCAAATGCCCCTTTGGTGGTCTTCCCAGCTCTACCATGCACAGGATCCAGCTGATCCAAAACTCCGTCGTCCACATACTCATCCATACTAAACTCCGTTCCCCTATCACACCAGTTCTAGCCAGGCTCCATTGGCTCCATATCGCCGAACAGATCAAGTTCAAGATTCTCATACTCGTTTTCAAATCACTTCATGCCCTATCTTTCTGACCTGCTTACCCCGCAACCCACAATTTGCTGCCTCCACTCGATTGGCACCGGCCTTCTACATGTCCCTTGTGCCCTCCGTTCCACCATTGGTGGGCGCTTTCAGCCACTTCACCCTGAAACTCTGAGATACTCTTACTCTATCCCTCCACCTTACCCTTCCTTTCCTCATCTTTAAGTCGTGCCTGAAGACCTTCCTATTCGACTGTGCCTATGGTCACCTCCCCCTCCCCCTGGCTCGGCCTTGTGCTCCGCCACTGTTAAGCGCTCTGGGATACTAACCTGCATAAAGTGCACTATATAAATGCAAGTTGTTGTTGTTGAAAAGAAATGTAACTTTTTCCTGGTTTTACCTTGGCAAACAATTAATTGATCATTCACATCATGGCTACTTGTTGGACCTTGCTGTGCACATAATGTCTGCCACATTGCCTACTAAAAAAAAGTCCCTCATTTGACATTAATTATCTGTGAAGCATGCTGAGATGTTTCAATGTAATAAGTGCTGTCAAAATGCAGATTCTTTAAGTTTTTTCCCCTACTCTCCTGAACGCTTTGACTCAGTCAATTCCACAGACAACAGCAGCCCTTGAGTACTTTACCCAAATAATTCTTCTTTGTGTTTGAGCCTCGACAGTGAGGTTCCTTTCATATCCTGATGGCTAAAAAAATCACAATCTCTCCGTATAGCAATCAGTGTGTATTAGACCCCAATAAATGTTAGCACATTAGCCAAAGAGCCCCAGAGTTTAACTGGATCTCTTCCTAATCTCATGGCCACAAACATCGACTTCCAACAGCACTGAATAGGACTCAGGAGTGCAATTCCGATTACCACTACCATTCTTGAGCTGAGATCAGTTAATTCGACAGGGCCTGATGATCACACCTGGGACCTTCTCGTCTGATTGTCTCATTAGAATATTGGGAAGTGAACCATTGAGGAATTGCAATTTATTTTAAAGGTAGTTTTTGTTTCCGTACATTAAAAACACACCGGAACCCATCATGACAGGGCTGAAAGGGCATACAAATCCCAGAATTTGCTAATTTTAGTTTGTTTAAGAATGGTATTGAGAGCTTTCCTGACTTATATATACAGAGTAATGCATACAAGTTCTTATTATGTGCCACATACTTGGATTGAAAAAGCCTCGAACAGCATTCCACTACTTGCCACGCCTGCAGTATCTTTTGTGGAAATCCTGTTTTTTTTGGTCAGCCGGGTATCTTGACACATGCAAAAACCCATCACCATGCATAATAGTATCCAAACCAAGCTGAGATTTCCATGCCTCCCACCTACACATGGAAATCCCAGAGATAGATTGTTGGAATAGAATGTGCACACTCTCCCTAGAGGGAGGCATCCTGCTTACCTAATTCCGGAAAGTATTAGATGCAGATTAGTAAGACCCAAGACTTGGGAACCCCAGAATGTGCGTTGGGGTACTGCTGGAATCTAACCAGTTAAACCCGCAGAGCTTGCCATTGATATTGGTGTCCGGCAAGCTTTTCCATTATTTGTCCACCCTAAGGACAAATAGGGCTTTGGCTTGCATGGTTAACAGGAGCTGAGTGGAATGACTCCTTGCCCCCAGTGTCTGGTCGGCCTTTCCAGGTACTACCAATAAGCCAGGCTGGCTGTGCTGTCATCAACAGTGCTATGGAATACAGTGACCCGCCTGGCTCAGGAACCGACTTCCGAGACTACCACAGAGGGCTGGCTCGACCCTGAAATTCCATTGCCAAGCATGTCACCTTGGAACCAATTCAGTTCCAAGGAGACCCCGCTTACCTTTAGGAGGAAGGGAGACCCAGTATGATACACTGACTGATGAGCTGGGCAAGTAGAAAAGTGCGGCCGCATTTTTGCCGCAAAATCCGTCACAAGCCTTCCACCGCCACAGACGTGCTTAGGCAGCCCCCCCCCCACCGTTACAAACCTGTACACACAGTGTGCCAGGCCCCGCTACACACCTGTACACACAGTATGCTAGACTTCTGTGGGCTGTTTGCTCGACACTGCTACGGTCGCGAATTTCAAGCGCTGGGAGTGCTAGGATTGTGGAAGCGACAAAAGCGGGAAATCGGCTTCGTCTGGCGCCCGGCCTAATCTGAGCTGCGATAAATGTTTGGTAAGTGCTGTACTATTCACATTAAAATTTTTAGTATTTTAAACATAACTACATGTTCAGGAAATATATGCTTATAGTTTTGATCTGGGTTGTTTCACAAAATGCACCTCTCAATAGCACCAATCAACCCTCCGCACTTTCCTGGGGAATTTGCCAAATGTGATCAGTATGTTTCCAGACCAACAAGGAAGAAAGCAGTGCTAGATCTAATTCTGGGGAATGAAGTAGGACAAGTGGAGCAGGTTTCAGTGGGAGAGCATCTGGGTAATAGTGATCATAACATCATTAGATTTAAAGTGCATATGGAAAGAGACAAGGAACCATCTAAGGTAAAGATATTTAACCGGAAGAGGGCAAATTTCAGTGAACTAAAAAGGGACCTAGCCAAGGTGGACTGGAAAGAAAGATTGGCAGGTAAAACAACTAAAGAGCAGCGGGAAGTCTTCAAGGATGAGATAGCTCGGGGACAAAATAAATACATTCCCACAAAAGGGAAAAGTAGGGCTTCCAAACCTCCGTGGATGACGAAGGTAATTGTATCTAAAATGAAGCAGAAAAAAGAGGCGTATGACAAATGTCAAACCCAAAATACAGAAGACAACCAAATCGAATATAGGAAGTGCAGAAGAGGTTTGAAAAAGGAAATAAGAGGGGCAAAAAGATTATACGAAAAAAGGTTAGCGGGTAACATTAAAGGGAATTCTAAAATATTTCACAAATATATCAAGGAAAAAAAGCTAGTCAAAGGTAGGGTGGGACCAATTAAGGACCAAGGGGGATATCTTATTGTGGAGGCAGAGGGCATGGCTGATGTGCTGAATGAGTACTTTGTATCTGCCTTCACAAAAGAAGTGGATGCACCAAATGCCGCAATATCGGAGGAGAGGGTAGAGGAAATGGATAGGATAAGTATATACAAAGAGGAAGTACTGAAAAGGTTGACTGCGCTGAAGGTAGATAAGTCGCCTGGTCCGGACGGAATGCAA